AAAGAAAAAGAAAAAAAAAAAACACGAGAGAGCGAAACTAGTAAAAGAAAACGAATTTCTGTTGCCACTAGCCGAACCCCCCTTCATCCATTACTCTCCTTCTCCAAATCCCCGAACATTTTTTTATTAATGAGGTGGCGCACGCATCATCACTTGGCCATCATGACCTTGACAAACTCCTCGTAGTTGATCTGGCCATCGCCATCCACGTCAGCCTCCCGGATCATCTCATCAACCTCCTCGTCGGTCAGCTTCTCGCCGAGATTCGTCATGACATGGCGAAGCTCGGCTGCCGAGATGAACCCATTTTGGTCCTTGTCAAAAACACGAAAAGCCTCCTTAAGCTCCTCCTCGGAGTCCGTGTCCTTCATCTTCCTAGCCATGAGGTTCAAAAACTCGGGAAAGTCGATGGTCCCATTCCCATCGGCATCGACCTCGTTGATCATGTCTTGAAGCTCGGCTTCGGTCGGGTTTTGGCCGAGGGATCTCATTACGGTTCCAAGCTCCTTGGTCGTGATGCAACCTGCGTAAATGGATAAGGTCCGGTTCGCAAATTAGATTTTTACAATCTCGAAGTCCTAAATCCAATAACACAATTAGGGGTGCAAACAAACGGAACCGAGTCAAACATGGGTCTTATCGAGCAAGATTGATTTTTTTTTTTTACTTGCTCGAGCCCGAGCTCGATTTACGACGCTCGATATCGACTCGACAAAAGAAGACAATCGCTCAAGCTCGGCTCGAGATCAAAATGCTTGAAAGATTGCTCGAGTTCAACTCAAATTTGAAGTAAAATTACAATTAAGTATATAAATATAATATAGTAATGTTTAGTATATGAAAGGGGTATTTTAGTAATTCACTACATATCTCGAGCCGCTGACCTTCCAAAACCTATGCTCGACATCGATTCGATAACATGCTCGAGCTCAGCTCGAGTTTGGTCAATCTCGAGCTCGAGCCGAGCTTTGACTCGAGCGCTAGGGATCACGGTACTAAAAATCAATGGTTAATCGAAAAGGAAAGATGGTAAGCATAGGATCACCTTAACTTTTAATAGCAACAACAACAACAACAACAAAGTCTTTTACTCCTAAACAAGTTGGGGTAGGCTAGAGATGAAACCCAAGAGAAACAGTGGTAAGAAACACAAAAGAGGGCTCAAAACAAAACTCAAAACAAAAACAAAACAAAAGAAAGAGATTGGAGCAAAAGAGAAAGGAGCAAAAGTCACGGTTCCGGCCTTTAACTTTTAATAGCAATAATCAGAAATATAATTTGGAAGCAAATTCAAGCCTTCAAACCTGAGGTAACATTACTAAGATATTACCTCAAATTTCGATTGCTTTAAACAAGAGAAACACAACAATACCACCAATCATTCAACTCAATGCATTAACACCCCACACCAAGAACAGAGCAGAATTAAATCAGAATCCATTTTGTGATCCTTATTCAGAAAACCACAATTCTTAACCAAAACTGAGAAATTTCAAACAACCCAATTGATATTTCTAAAATATAACCTCAAAAGTCGATTGTTTTAAACAAGAAACACAAAACAATATCATCAATCATTCAGCTCAATGCATTTAACCCCACAGCGAAATACCCACAACAGATTCGATTCAACCAGATCTGACGAAGAACCCAAGAACCCACATCGAAAACACAACAAACGGACATAAACACATACAATCGAAAGCAAAGGCAGCTCAATATTAAACGTGAAAACAAATAAAAAAAAAAAAGAGATGAAAAAATGGCAGAAGAAGAGAAATCGAACCGTCGCCATCCTTGTCGAATAAGCTGAAAGCCTCCTTGAACTCGGAGATCTGATCGTCGGTGAGCTGATCCGCCATTGTTTGAAGCTTGAGAAAAGATTTTTGGATTATGGTTTTTTTTCGATCTGTGGGCTGTGGAATGAGAGGAAATGAAAGGGAGATCGATTTTGGTGGGGAGGTCGATGGGGTCTTATTTGTAGGATGCCAAAAAAATCGATATTTATTATCAGCAAAAAATCATAATTACCATTTTGTCCAGCTAATTTTCGTGTTCTTAAATTTAATTACTCTTTTCTTTCTGTACTAGTGTGTATCCCGTGGAGTTAATATTAACTAATAATTATAAATTAGAGATGTGGAGTTAATATATAATATAATTTGTCGTATACATAAAATTTGTATAAAAGAATTTTCGAAAATGTATGTTTAAAATATTAAAATGCTTAAAATGTTATATAACGTAGGAAAAGTATCTAAAATTTTATATCATTATTGAAAGATTGAAGTTACTTAAAATTTTTCTAAATTATTTTGTAAAGAAAATATGTCTAAACTATTTAAAAACATGTGAAATCACTTAAAATCTTCTACATTATTTTTTCATGAAAACATGTCTAACAATATTTAAATTTACATATGTACATGCATAACATATAAACGTATAATATAGATAGAACGTGTACAAAAATTTCGAAATAATATGTTTAAAAATATATAAAATATTATGAGCCTATATAAAGTTATTATTGCACTTAATTGACTGAAAAAGAAAAGATTTACACTAAATATATAAAATATATATAAATAAATATTGAGATGATAGTATATACAAAATAAATATTGAGTTGATATTGAGAATGATGACCTAACTTATTTCTAGAATTAAAAATTAGTTTTTTCTAAGTCCTTGTAGTTTTCATTTATCGAATTTACAAATAAGATTAATGCAAACCGAAGTATTATATAACAAATAAAATGAGAATTTATATCTAAGATTAAATATGTATTTAATGTTTTTTTTATCGGGAATTATAAATCTTATTCTCTTTTTATATAAAATATTATATCACATATGCACAAGTATCTGAAATATTCTATTTTATTTTTGAAATATGTGCGAAGTCACCTAACAGTATTCTAAACTATTTTGTAAGGAAAATATGTTTTTATCTAGAGAATGTGTAAAAAATTCGTCCAAATATTTTTAGAAGTATTTAAAATATTATATGTGTTAATAATATTACAACCGAAAAAAGTATATAAAAGTACCTAAAATATTATATATTAGTCTTAAAAAATGTGAAATAACCTAAATTTTTCTAAACTATTTATAAGAAAAATATATTTAAAAACACTTAAAGTTAACATCTATATATATATATATATATATATATATACACTGTGAAATATTTACTCAGACAACATGTTTAAAAATTTATTCTTATTATATATATATATATTAAATTCCACTTCTATACAAAAAGAATAGGATTCTATAAAAATCCTATTATATATAGAAATGTGAAATTACTTAAAATTTTCTAAACTATTTTATAAGAAAAATTTATTTAAAAACACTTAAAGTTAACATCTATATATATATATATATATATATATATATATATATATAAAATATTTACTCAGACAACATGTTTAAAGATTTATTCTTATTATGTACATATATTAAATTCCACTTCTATACAAAAATAATAGGATTTTGAGGATAAAATCTCACGTAAATTTTACGTGTATATTGTTAAAAATAAATACATGCATGATTGTTAAAAATAAACCTCACGTTTAGTTTTGAATTAATTTATGAGGTGAATGTAACAATTAGGAAATTCATCAATTTTTAATTTACATACAAATATTATATTTATAAAACCATCTTTTCATACATCATTTTTATTTATTTTATTTTATATGCGTACCTATCCACCAGAATAAGATACAAATTAATCGGCAATCTTTTTAAAATGTGTTCTGATTTATGTGTTTATCTCTCCATCAAATTGTGCTGCAAAAAAATATATTGGCCGAATTTTGTGTGCCATAAAAAAATAACAACTTCCACCATTCAATGGCAGCATTAAATGCTCCATTATTTTATTTAAAAATAAGAAATAAAAACTACTATAAATAGTATAAAATTAATGCAGATAAGATTTTGACAAAGATTTGACTTACTATTTTTATAAAATGGTAATTCTTTTTATATAGATATAATTTTTTTTTTTTCTTTTGATTTTTTTTACGTGGTTTCCCATGTTTGCCCTTGATCTAGTTTTTTGAATTTGTTATATCAATTTATAAAGAGATTCTAAAGTACCGTTACAGAACTAGACATGTCTATAGGCCGAACTAGTCCGTGAACCAGCCTGCGAACCGGCACCGACCCGGAAAGAACCGGGAATTCTAAGGGCTGGTTTGTTGAACCGGACAGGTCGCGGTTTGGTCCCGGTTCCCTTTTTTTGTATTTTGGTCCCGCCGGTCCGGGCCGGGCCAGCTCGAACGGCGGGCCACATTGTTAAAAAAAAAATTAAGGGTCGTCCCGGCCCGTGACCCGTCGTGTCGGTGAACCGGCGGGAACCGGCCCTTGGTTCTTAGCGGGTCGATCGCGGGCCATGTGTTGGAGGGCCCGTGGTCCGGTGGGCCGGTCCGGGCCTTGGCCCGTTGCCTGGCCACCACTATACGGAACCATTTCCGTATTTGTAACCGTCAAATCAATTATGCACGACGATTACATGACCATTTAACGGTTACAAATCACGACAGAATGGTTACGCAACGGGACTTTAGCATTCCCCAATTTATAACACAATAATAATAATAATAATAATAATAATAATAATAATAATAATAATAATAATAAATAATTTATAATTTATAATTTATAATTATTTTATTATTATTATTATTATTATTATTATTATTATTATTATTATTATTATATGAATTTTTTATTAGTTTAATCTCGCAAGTTGTATTGGCTATTTGTTCGGAACCTACGAAATTGGAAGCTATTAATTTGAGTCTAAAAAAATGGTTAACTATCAATTTTAGACCTAACAAATTAAATTATCAACAATTTTTTGTATGCCGTATTAATTTTATAAAATTAAATAACATATTAAAAATGTAGATTTATGCCTCTTTTGTTTATCGTCGTTATTGTAATTTTAGCAAATAAGAAGAAAATAACGGTGTTAATTTTTATATTAATAAATTCATTATTTAAAATATTATAAATCCCGTTCTCGAATTGAAGTTTGATTCATTATTCGAACTCTTTTTGGCTTATAGATAGGGGAGATTCTACAGTTCCGTTATGAAAACATTCTGTCGGAATTTGTAACCATAAGATCATCAATGACGATTACATGACGATTTAACGATTACAAATATCGACGAAATGGTTTCGCAACGGGACTGTAGCATTTCTCAATAGATAGATACTACAGTCTACAGTAGTAAATTAATAGTGTTAGATTTTTTTAGTTTCAAATTGATAAAAAAATATATATGTATTTTATAATTGAATAATCTTTTCGACCTAACTTTATAAATTATGTAGTTAGCTGTGGGATTTTGAATATCTTCTGGGATTGATTCGGACTCGTGTCCTAAACATATAAGTTGAGAAAGAATAAAGTTAAAAGAACATTTGACTATTTAATAATGTAATAATTATTTAATTATGTCATTATCTACTATACTTTATTTTGATTTTAATTAAAGTACTTTGTCCTAAATGTTTTATGCACATAATTGTTAAATTTTGTACTGATTGTAACTTGTAATTATCAAGACAGCACAATGATTTCATATGATTCAATGATTGATCACGGATTAAAACAAATATTTATAATAATTGTACAAACATATTTTTTCAATAAATATTAACATTGATGTCAGAGACGTAGCAAGATAAATTTTTCACTCGGGACCGCAAAATATGCAGATGTTATTCGAACTAAGTTGTCCTTTGATATAGTTCGATTCGACTCGTAAAAATTCAAGCTTGACTTGCATGTATATTTAAATAAGCAAACTCAAACAAGTAATCGAGTTTATCTATCAAACAAATCGATTCGAGCGTGTTCGCGAGTAATTCGGTTGGAGTTTGAAGTCTAGGTTTCAGGTTTATCATATGACTTGAACTGAGTTTATACGAGTGAAACCCAAGGTCAAATTTTTAATTGTTTATTAAACGAGTTGAGCCACTATGTCTCGTTTACTAAATGAGCACAAGTTCAAACTTGAAATACTCAATTTGAAAAATCTATCTAGATACATGTGCAAATAAGTCACAGTATGAAAACAATTTTTAAATTTACTGTAAATTACATGAATCACACAGTAAATAATATTAAAACATGGATATTGCATTTCTAATATAAAAACTACTATACTTTTCAACTAGTCATGTTTTATATGGAGACGACTCCCATTTAACGAGAAACTTGTCAATTTTTAACTACTCTTTATACATATGACGAATCTTTACTTTCAATTGTTTCATTATTTTCTTCTTTAAAAATATACAAAGACAATTTTTCTCATGTACTTAAATTTTAATAAAAATAACATAATTTATTAAAATGAAACGACTATAAAACAACGTAATAGTCTCGTCATTCTTGTTATGTGTCATGTCATGTCATTTAAAGTACATATGTCATTGCATTGAATTTGTTAGACAAATAAATGAGATTTAGCATTAAATTTCATATAATCAACTATTATTTATTTAAAGATTTAGAGAATATATAAACTTGATTGTGAAATCTACAAATTCAATTACATACTATGCATTTTAATGAAAGTCCGACACAATTAAATATTGTCTCAAATAAAATTATTCAAAAAAAATATATTCAATCAAATAATAAAAAATAACCAGAAAAATGACATAAATGTGCATAATAATATAAAAATAAAAGTAGAAAGAAATATAAATAATGTTCAAATATACAATTCATTGATTTAGTGTAAAATAAATTTAACTTATTTTTTTGCCAAAATAAGATTAATAT